CTCTCATCTTTCAAATCCATTCTTTATGAGATGGGAAAATTTATCCACATAAGCTGTTGAGGGCACACATTTTATTAGAGATTGATCCAGGACTAGAATGCAGATCCAAACCCAGATCCAAATAAAATAAAAAAGTTTTTTTATTCAGTGTGGGGATTTTTCTCCCCCATGAGCTAAATGTGGGGAAATGAGTATATTCTGTATCTATTTGATCCTTAAAAGGCAAAAAAGCTTTTAAGACCTTGTTTTACTCTAATACTGCACATTTCATTTCTTATAAATTAAAAAGAAGTGAACAACTTAGACTTCTGAAAGCTCAAACACTGTGACTGTAATATTGAAAAAAATGTAAAAGTATATCAGTGCTGCTATCTAAATTATATTTTCTAATTCAACATACCCTAACACTATAGAAAGCCATACATAATGCATTTTATCTGCAAAAACAAAACAAACTAACAAAAAACCTTTTACAGGCTGAGAGAGCATTTTTTAAAAAGGCGAAAGCATGTTATGTAATTTCCACTTTTCAAATATATATATATATATATATATATATATATATATATATATATATATACTTGCCTGAAGACTGTTAGTGGTAAGCCAGAGCAGTGGCAAACTCATTAGTCAACAGAGCCAAATATCAATAGTACAATGATTAAAATTTCTTTTGAGAGCCGAAAACCAACTTCTGTGCATGGGCCACAAAGTTTCAATCACACTGTACATGCATGCCCATACGTGGTATTTTGTGGAAGAGCCACACACAAGGAGCCAAAGAGCCACATGTGGCTCCTGAGCCATGGTTTGCTGACCACTGGGCCAGAGCATAATAGTGGAAAGTATGGATGGCCTGCCAACAAGCCTCAAGGAAAGCTTGCTGGATGATACCCTGTTTCCCCGAAAATAAGACAGTGTCTTCTATTAATTTTTGCTCTCAAAGATGTGCTAGGTCTTATTTTCAGGGGATGTCTTATTTTTCCATGAAGAAGAATACGGTACACATTTATTGTTAAATGAAAATAAAGGAAATTTATTACCTGTATATGGTACAGTAGTAAGGTAGTTGTCAACACAAACCAGACAAACTGTGAATCCTATAGTATCAAGAATTTACTCATTTATTCAATGACAATCATGTCATCATCTTCTGGAACATCATCATAACAATCCAATTCCTGAATTTCCTGGTGAATTTCTTGTGACTCCATTTCTTTCAGAATTAGTGGACCAAATCTCTCATATTTAGCCTGGGGGGGGGGGCTTATTTTCTGGGGGATGCCTTATATTTCACTCAGAAGGAAACCTGTAAGTAGGTCTTATTTTCAGAGGATGTCTTATTTTCGGGGAAACACGGTATTCTTGAAAATATATTGAAATTTCAAAACTGAGAGCTGTTTGCATGATTTACTTGGTAAACAATGATACCACGTGGAGAGGGAGGGGTCGTCTACATTAGTATTCAAGCACACTTACTTTGATATACTTGTGTTTATATGTTCTTTCTTTGGGCTAATTTCTTTTCAAAGAGATGTCACCAAAAATGGAATAAGGAGAATAAAAAGGAAATCAATGTAGACTAAGCAAATATGCATAAGCAAACTGAATTAGTTACATAAAAACAGGCTTTATTCCTTTCTCTAGGATTTAATATGACCTTGAAAGTACATAATCTCTGAGAGAACAATTTGGAAAGTAAAAGAATGGTGTACTAGTTTGAATGCATGAAAAAACATGAAGTGTTCTGAACATCATAATAATAAACTCAGAAAAATAATGAAATTCACTCTGATGTTAATATGCAAGCACCAGGGGGGATCCAGTAGACAGATAACAATACATTTCAGTTTTACATTAATTATACCATTTGACAAACTGAACATTGTGTTGCTTATGTCCAACAGCCCTTATAGAGGCAAGATCACAGTCAGAGTGTGAGATAGTAATTTTATAAAGAAGTGCTCACCCCGTTTTTACATATTGGAACATCAGGTTTAACAGCTAATTGGATCTGACTTGAGACAATAGCATTAGCAGTAAAATAGGATAAGGATATATTTATGATGGTCCAAATGAGAGGAGCCTCTAGAAGCTTAAATTAAAGCTGAGTTCTTGATTTGATTAAGAAGATACATTTCTAATCATCCTCTAAACATCAAAGCAGTGAAAAGAAATGACCTCTTTATGATGGTGTAAGGACACTCCCTAAACAAGCAGGAGTAGAAAACAGGAAGCTTGCTGACGATAGAACAGGGACCTGGAGAGGGACCCAGGAAGGATGACATTGCTGCGTAGTGATCAGTATACCTAGGCTTCTGGAAGGCAGCCTTTAGACATAACTGTAGAGAAGTGAACACCAGCACAGGCATGGGCTCTTCCCTGTAAGCTGTCATCTTTCCTAGGATCTAGGATCTAGTTGTAACATAAGACAGTGCTGCTTTTTCCCCAGTTCTTCCTCGTCCCCACTGTTCTACATTAACTGGTCATTTCACTACCTCTCCCTCCCAATTGTTCCCATTGCAAAATACTCATATGCTACTAGTAAATAAAGAATGTGTATGTTTGGAATGAATGTAGCAGACTGCTTTATAAAGCAAGACCAGACTTAAAATTGATTAAGATCTTCCCACCAAACACCATCTCTCTCCCTAACCCCCTTTTTCTCTCTCTCTTACACACACACACACACACACTATCCTCAGTGGCTTCTTGCATTCATTGCTTGGAATGTAATCATCATGGATACTGATTGCTTTAGATTCATCAGTTTTTTCATTGTAAATGCACATATAACTGAGATCAATAAACAGCCTCCTGAATAGAATGGAGGAGCAGAATCAATGGGTTACAAATGAAATGTGAGATATTGGTGGTGGAACATTTCTTACAAAGCACTTTAACCCATTTTTAACAGTCATGTAGAAATTTACAACAGTTGCAGTTGTATGTTAACATTACCTGTAAGGTTTCCTGGGTAAACATCCTGAATTCAGATATTACTCCTGCTGCTAGAGGGCGCTCTGTCATAGTCACACCAGGTAGCACTTTATGTCACACAGGTATTGTTATTTTTTAATATTTGCTATGATGTGGAACGATCACAACTATGATTAATTTTGGCATTCATTTGACAATTACTTATTTATTGGTAATACTTATAATTTACTTTTTATGTCAGAAAAATAACAGATATTTTTAAATATAACCCAAAAGAAATTAGCACAACTACAAAAACGACAGTAAAAATTAATCCTTTAAATCAAGTAAATTTAACATTAGGAAAAACTCACTACATTGTCCTTATTTTTCTCATTTTTGTAGGACCAAAGAACTTCATTCTGAGCCAGCACTGGGTTTGAAACTGGAAAGAGCTTATTTAACAAAGCAATTGCAAGTTAATATTGATTTAAAGCCTATAAGGTATAGTCCATGTGAAATCTATAGAATTTCCATATTGTATTTTATGCAATCCAATATTAAAATTTATATACATTTCTTAAGCAAGAACTGAGAATCAGAAGACATGGGCGAAAGAGCATTTGGGATTTATTTCTGAGGGAACAACTTAACAAAAATACTACTTAAGCACTCTGCTAGGTGCTAAGGATTCATAAATAAATAAGACTGATCTGTATTTGGGGGAAAATAAACATGCAATAAAATTGAGGTTAAGGAGATATGTGCTACAGTAACATGTACACGCACAGAGAAAGTTGTGGTAATTACTGGAGGGGGGGGGGGCTTTTGTCATTTTTCTGAAGCATGGAGAGGTCACCAAGTGACCTCAAAAGAGGCTGCCGGAGTCCCACGGGTGCTCACTCTCTTCGCCGACAGAAGCACTCCTGGAAGCATTGGGAGCCTTAACGCAAAAAGTGTTTCCAAACTTGGATTCCAAAATAACTCTTCATTTCTTTTATTTCAACCTTTAATTATGCCTGAGGAATATTCTTCCTTTCCTATTAGTAACTCTGGACATCTTCAGGGAGCCTTTATTGTGAAAAATAATTTATGCGAGGAATTTTGTTCCATTTGATGGAAATATGGTTATATACTTTTTATTTTATATAGTGGAAGGCTTGGACTAGAGCTTTCTTGCAAGAAGTGAAATGAGGGTTAACTTATAACTTAGTAAATTAAGCGGAAATGTTCAGACTGCCTGCTGCCATGGCAGTGACGAGGCCGGGCTGAAAAGCTGGGGCCCAGACACCACAGCGGCGGTCAGCTCTCCAGACCATTGGTTCACTTGCTCTATGCTTCAGCGGTGAAAATGTGGCCTCAGATATTATCTGTTGGCTGAGGCTTTTTTTTTTTTTTTTTTTTTTTTTTACATTATAACTATACCAGCCCATAATCCAATGTTACTTGGAAACACACCTGTGGTTTGTTTTTAAAAATAACATGAATCTATAGCTTCAACCAAATCATAGCAGAAATGTGTCATATGAAATACTACATAGAAAAACACATTTCTAAAGACATTCAAGTGCCCCTTCTTGATTCTTTGGTATAACTTTTACGTTATTTCGTGACTTCATGATGATCTGTGACTGTTTAGCAGGTCTATGAAATACCTCAATTTTCAAAGAAAAATCTTCATTTCAAAATAATAGCATCGTTTTGCATGATAGGAAAGGAGCTTTTTGTTTTTCAGGCGATTTCACAACATGCTCTCATTATGAAGGCATACTGTTTTTCAAGAAAGTCACCAAAAAGGGTGTTTTTCTTCATGTGATTACTAATAACTAAGGACAATTTGTCAAATAAATTGACAATTACTGATAATTGCTAAGAAGCTGTTCACAAGCCAATATTCTTGCAGAACATGTAACAGGTGTTCCCACTCCCTGTGTCCTTTGTATACACATTCATTCTGTATTCAAATCGCAGAAGCGAGAGGCAGGATAGGGTCTGTTACCTCACTGCTAATTTTCCTAGCAAATAAACAGCAGCTGCTGGTCCATGAACCAAGTTGCCACTAGGAACAGGGCACCGTATACATGGGGCAGGATGCTTTCATGGAGCCCTTCAGCAGTACCGTTGGGGTCTTTCAGTGCAAAATATACCTCCTCCTCTTAGGTAAGCCACTGCATGATTTGTGTTTTAGCTGTGTGTGGTGTTTTTAAATTGTGGGTTTAAGGTAAATATTTGTTTTGGGCTGTAGATTCAGTCAGATAATTGAAGAACAGCTCAGAACCTTTTAAACAATAACATACTTTGTTTCACCAAAGAGTCAGGAACATTTAGTAGAAATAAGGTTCAATCAATAGATGGTTATTGTTTCTTAGAACAATACTTATTGTCACTAGCAGAAAGTTAAAACATTCTAAAAACATAATGAATTTCTTTTTCTTTTTCTTTTTTTTTAGAGAGAGTTTACATATACATTTCATTTTGGCAAATATTCTTATAGGCCATGAATTTGTGACTGCTTATAGTGAAACTCAAAAACAATTTACGATAATTTTTTTTGCTGTTCTTATTCTAGATAATGTGTCAAACCATTAGCTTTACTTCATTTTAAAATGACCTATCTTATGAAATATGGAAAAAGATAAGATTCCAAACTGACAAAAAATATTTTATATGCAGTACAGAGAAATGTGTTTTAAATAGTATTAATTCTCCAAAAGGCTTTGAGCCTTTCTTTTTGCCCGATGGCTATTCCTATGAAAATTTTTTTTTTCTGTACCTGAATATTTTTCCTCAATTCCTTTATCCTTAGAGTTTAAAAGAATCTTTCACCAAAATTCCCACTGTTTCTGTCATTATTTTTCATAAGATGTTCTCTTTTTCATTCCTTCTATTTATGAGTTTTAGAAGTCAAGGTAGTTTCTTATTTACATTCAACAGATAGGAATTTTTAAAAAGATGTTTATTTCCTTAATGTTAAGAGCAACTTAGCTAAATGAGCAATTTAAGCTTTAGCCTTCTTCAGTTGTTCAGAGCCTTGTTTTCACTCATATATTTCATTATAGTTTTCATTGTGAATAAGATTGTTATTCAGACCTGTAACTAATGATGTATATAGCCCACATACTTGAAACATACAACATGTAAAATTTTTAAGTGTTTGAGTTTTCCTTAATTGTGACTTAGTTCTAAGTGTGTATGTTGTCTAATTCAAATTTATATTGATTTTAAATTTTAATTAAAAAAATTAAACAGCTGCCCTACATGGCTTTTTCTCTTTGTGCATTTCTGTATGATTTGAAAATATCCTGGTGTCAGTGCCCCACTTATTTTTAATTTTATAACAATGGGACTGTGGTCGTTTTACAACTAATGCTTTTATAAGTGGCTTGCTTGAGGAATTCAACTAAAATAAATTAAAATATACTTTAGAGAATTAGCAAGTTCATAAGTAGTTAAAGCAGTTATTATCCCTTAAGACTTTCTTACACAAATTTACTTTTTTCCATTAGTAGTATGTTGTAAAGACTATAGGTAATGTGGGACACTGTTTTTGGAATACTGAATTATCTGTTTGTTTTCCTTTAAACACACAAACACACACACACACACACACACACACACACACACACGCACACACAACTTAAAAATTGGAAGCCCAAAATGTAGTTTGTAAAGTCTACTCAAAGTAAAACTTTATAATTTCTATTTTCTCTAAATACGCAAGCATTTGTTTTCAGTCAACAATAGTTGTGTTATGCTTGCTAATATCATACATGATAATGGGGAAGTAAATGCCAACTATTTTAAGCTACAGCTAGAGGTCACTTTGTGCAAGTTTGATGTTTATATTCAACACAGTGAAACTGGCCTAAAGAGTCTTTTGTTTCTGGAATATAGATAAATTTCACAATGACTTGAGGTATTCCTTAACACTATACATTCTATTGCTACACTATTTAAAGGAGTTTCTTCTGGGGAAATTATTGCTATAATTTTCATTTCAGATTTTTAATGGTATTAGCCAAGTTTCTCCAATTTACTATGCCCTATATGCAAAAAATATTAATCTAATAAGAAAATGAATTTTAAGTTAAGTCAAGATATTTGGAATATCAAAAGCAAATTAAAATTTCATCAATTTTATGTCATTTTTTGAAGTTTATTTGTACACACAAAGGTTGATTTTCTAAAATCAATAATTTTGGTTCTTTAGGTTTTCTCATACAACTAGAAAAGAATACTTGAAAAATATTCAAAATGAATTAATTTTTTAAAAGTTAATATAATGCTAATTGACAGCATGAATTCATCACATCTGTAGTGGGAAATACATCAATCGCAAGAGTGTATATAGTCCTAAAATGTAGGGGAAGCATTCAATTATTTGTTTATTCCCCAAAGTTCACTACAAGTAAGGATTGTATCATATCAATAGATTCATGTCTTTCCTGCAAAATTAAAATATTTTAGATAACTGAAATATAGAAAATTTTGTTCCTTGATGACATTCTTAAAACTTGCTAAATATAATTTATCTGGTTTTAAAAAAATGGTGTGGGCAACCTAAGGAAACAGCTATTATCACAGCTGTGCTTTCTCCCACTGTCATATATGCACACATATTAATGACATGTTATTTAAGGTATTATTATATGATGCAGTTTCTAAAATGGTCCAAAGAACTAGGCCACCCTCCTTAAACAATATTGTCCATATAAATTATTTAATATAAATAATAAGTGCCATATAAATTATTTTCTGCTAATGTAGCTTCATTTTTACCTGGACTGCAATATTCATATTTAATATTTCATTAAATAGAATTTGCTTCCCATAACTCTAGTCACAGACTCTCTAATCAGTCTTTTGATACTTAAGATTCAAGTTTCTGGTACAGGATCCAAAATTCATCAACCTTTCTGTTCTATTCCAGCTGCCTATGCAGTGTTACTCAAACACTTTCAGAATATTACAACCTCAGTTAATTGTTTCCAACTTCAACCACACATACACATACAAAAAAAAAAAAAAAAGTAGATAAGAAATACTTCTTATCCTTTTCAAAAAAAGGGAACAAGGACTTTGGCAATAACTTCCCCAAATGACAAGAACAGATTAGCCAGATTGAGCCATCTAGGTCTACATTTCAGCATGACACTGGTTTCTGGGTTGAGCTGTGAAATGTATTACAGGGACCATCATATCAATAACCAAGCTGCTCACTATCAGAGGCAACTACTGAGTTTTATGTTGGTGGCCGTGCAGCTTTCCCAGTGCATTCTCAAGGCAATGATATGAGTTCCCACCATTCCCCTTGATTCCTTGGTAATAAACACAGAATCACCACTTTATTAAAGTATATCCAGGGATTGGCAACATATTAAGTGGACTAACACCTGAGACTCAATACTTCAAAATACTTTGTGCCCCTGAGAAATTAAATACAGACCTTCACCTTCAAATGTAGGGTACCTGCTACCCTAAGAAAAGCACCTCAGAATGTCAATAACATCAACAAGAGTAAGAGAAGCCTTATGCTTCATCTAATACTACTCCCTTTTTGAACAGGAGGGGGGGAAAAGATTTATTAAAACTTCACTGACAAATTCTCATTTTTATCACAAGTGTGTGTCCTTTACTAAGACCTCAGATTCAGTGGATTTTTAACTTTATCAAAGTATCAAATTCAGTAATCTCTCTTCAAATTTAAAGAATAGGTTCCTGTAATCCCTTATATCAAGGCAATTAGCAAGTGATGGATTTAAGACTATACGGTGAAAGTAGGATAAGGGAATGGTGAGGAGTGAATGATGAAATCATAAATATTTTTATGTGCACTCCAGTAAAACAGAGACAGAAACACTTAATAAAAATGGTGGGAATTACCTCTTATATAAGTTAATAATAATGGTAACTAAAAAGCTAGTTTTTATTTATTGTTTATTGCTTATCAGGAGCTTCCTATCACCAATTTCAATGGAAGGTATGTAAGCTCATGTTGTTTTGTGCAAGTAACACATATACCAGAATGATTATTTAAAATACTTTTATTGATTTCAGAGATGGAGAGGGAGAGAGAAATAGAAACATAAATGATGAGAGAGGATCACTGATGGCTGTCTCCTGCAATCCTACTCGGATTGAGCCTGCAACCTGGGAATATGCCCTAATGGGGAATCAAACTGTGATCTCCTGGTTCAAAGGTTGACATTAAACCACCAAGCCACGCCAGCTGGGCACCAAAATGAATTTTTTCCCCCTGTACTGCCCAATCCAAATGTCTGGGGGACATTGACTTCAAGAGCCTTTTTCCTCTCTGTTGGCCTCAGCTTCACGTATCTCAGGCATCACTGGTTCCAAGCCTTAGATTTACTCTCGTCTTCCTTTTCCTCCCTTATAATTTCCTCGCAGAAACCATTACTCCTTCCCTGCAATCCATTTTGTCTCCTCTTCAAAATTCCCAGCAACCAGTTCCTTCTTTTCCTAATAATTCAAATGGGGAACAACTACAACATTAACGTTCTTGAACATTCCAGAAAAGAAAACAGATGCAAATCCTCATATCTTTGTAACCCTTTTGTTATGGACCAAATCACTAAAACAAATGTGCAGGTACAGCCCATTATGAGGGAAAAAAAGATTTACAAGTCAACCACAAATATACACAGAGCCCAAGGAGACTGTAAGACACATGTTTATTTTTCCCATAGAGTCACCTAACTTTCAGTCCCTATAGTCAGTTTCAATTGAGCATCTGGGAGTTCCTTCTCCCTTTAACCTCCTCGGATATTCTTCTTTCTCTTCCTGAGTTCTTTGCTCTAACTTCCCTGCAGGCCCCACGGTCTTACTTTCTGCGTCTAGCTAACCAAAGACCAAAACCATAGAAATCTTTGCCCCCACCTCTACCCTGGGATGGAAAGAGAGAAATTTACTGTCAGTAGAACTTGATACCTCCTAGGAGGAGACCTACATCTTTCACTTTCTCCAAAGAACTCACTGTGTAACTGACCTTTATACTTTCCCTTCCTAATATTGATGGCTTTTCATAACAAGGCTCAGTGAAAGCTTTAAGATCCCCTTTTTAGTAGGGATGGAAAGGGGAAGCAATCAAAGAAGATAAACATTTTGTGTATAAGGAAGCTGAAATTGTGAAACCTGATTTAATGTATAATTTTGAGTTAATAGGTAGCCCAACACTATGCAGTTTCTTCAAAGGATGCCCTGTAAACCTTAATCCTTTCCCTTACAAGTCCCTACCCATCCGAGGCAGCCAGAAACAATGGCCAGGTCTTGATTCAGGGTTACAAAGTACGTTAAACTAAATGTAATATCTTGACCTAAATTATGTTTCAGTTCCCCTTTGCTCCTTTTCTATAAAACCAGACAGACAGATTCCAGAGCGGACCTCAAAGCTGTCCTCAAGATCTGAAGAGATGATTACTTATCAGCTCCCAATACAACCCTGAACCTCTAACCCACAGTGTCTTGTGATTTTTGCCCTGTATAATCTGTAACCTATATGCCATTGGGGAGTACCAGCTTTTGAGCATTAACTTCCTGTTCTCCTGCATGGTGCCATTCATAATCAACTAGCCAGTGTTTAGTGTTTGGCTGAGCTAATGCCAACTGGACAAACTCTTTCTTTTCAATAGCAATTGTAAGATATTTATTTGTGCCCAGATTCCGATCTCTTCTCACCTCTGATTTTATTCCATTTCACCCATATGTATTCTGCTTCATCAAGATTTCTCTTTCTAGGGCATCATTCCAATAGCTACAAAGGTGCTGTTCAGCATCCATCCTATGAAAGAAGACAAGTTTTTCTGCTCCCTTTCACAGCAAAGCTCCCCAGAAGTGTTGTCTATACTCACTGACTCTAATTTCCTTTCCTTTTACTGTTCAAATACTTCACATTTAAGTTCCTCTATTCTCTCCTTCACTATTTCAAATGTTTGTATGATGTAGGTGCCATGTTGCTACTTTTAAAAATGAAGGTTTTGAACCAAAGAGATTTTAATTAAGACCTCAGCGATGTGGTAGCCTAAACTAAGGAAGATTCTCTTCTCAATTACAAATACATAAAAATGCCAAATAAAACAATGCACCATGACACAAGGTAAAGATGGGGAAATCTCTAACTACACGAAACTAGAAAAAAAAAAAAAAAACAAACACCTGCAGACATAGAATTACATGGGCCAAACAACCGAGGCAAATAGGAGGGGCAGGAGCCAGAGCTGTGCACTGGGCAGAGCTCCATGCCCCTAAGGTCCTCCGGGACCATCCTTCCCTCTTAAACCCACTTTAATGCAGCTGTCATGCCTAGCATAGCCTTTCAGTATTCCCTCTTGGATGTCTAATGGGCATCTAAAATGAACATGTCCAAAACTGAACTCTGATCTTCTCCTAGAAAAGCCGTTCTCCTCACAGTCTTCCCGTGATTACTTTATTAGTTGTCCATTAATAAACCAGTTGATCAGGTGGACAACCTTGAAGTCATTCTTTACTCTTCTTGGTTTCTTATATCCCACGCCCAATGTGTCATCAAATTAGCACTGCCAGCCTTTTATCACAGTATCTTTTACTAGTACCCTGGTCTATAGCACAATCATCTCTTGCCTACTTTACGGTGGTTACCTCCTAAGTGGTTTCCTACTCCTTCTCTTGCCCATACCTGTCTATTCTCACAGCAGATGAAATACACCCAAAAAAACAAAAACAAAAAAGATCATATCTCTCTCTGCTCACAACATTCTAGTTGCATCCCTATCTCAGAGAATAATTGCCTAAGTGTTTTCCATGACTCTAAGACTTGGCCTGATCTGGCCTGGACACCTTACTGACCTCATGTCTTACTACACGCTCCTCCTCCTCCTCCTCTGTGCTCTATCCACTCCCGCCTCTCGCTGTTTCTCAAACACACCAGCCAGATTCCTGCCTCTGGGCAAGAATAACTGATCATGACTGATAATGATTTAATGTCACTCTCCTTGGGATATTTGTATCTGGCAAGGCTTTGGCTAAAAGTAAAAACTTCCAATAATGGACTGCAAAGCCATTTTAGAAGACTTTGGAGGAAGATTTTTGGGAGGAAGTAGTTTCTCAAATCACATAGTCTGATTAGAATATATGATTCAGATATTGATATAGTCACAATTTAAAAAAATTTTAAAGTTTCATGGACTTTAGAACTAATAATCTTACCCAGTTCTCCTTTTCCCATTATTCTTTAACAGTCATAGATAGTAACTTCTGCTTTCCTTTAAAGAAGTCATGTAAACGACACAGACTTTGGGTGGAGTTTTTCAAATGCAGGTTTCAGAGACAAATATTTACCTCTCCAGGAAACCGGTACCAGAATGGTCAGTGGCTAGAAGCTGCGCTTCTTTGAAAGAAATTATCATCTAATCTGGTTCTCTCTGCTCTGCCTCTTTAGGTTGTGAAATGTGGCTCCGAGTCTTTACTGCTTTCCTTTCCTTTGTTGCAGGCACTTGCTTGGGGCTGAAGGTGGTGGTGCCATCGTACACCGTCCATGGTGTCAGGGGTCAGGCCCTCTACCTCCCTGTGCACTATGGATTTCACACTCCGGCATCAGACATTCAGATCATATGGCTGTTTGAGAGACACCACACGATGCCCAAATACTTACTGGGCTCTGTGAACAAGTCCGTGGTTCCCGACCTGGAATACCAACACAAGTTCACCATGATGCCACCCAATGCATCTCTGCTCATCAACCCACTGCAGTTCACCGATGAAGGCAATTACATTGTGAAGGTCAACATTCAAGGAAATGGAACTCTCTCAGCTAGTCAGAAGATACAAGTCACTGTTGATGGTGAGTCCACTATAAATGCTATGGGCAGCTGGGTAGCATCAGTTAGCCATGACTCAGATTAGACTACCTGGGCTTTAGGTACTGGCTCTCCAATTTGGGGCAAATTCATTAGCCCACAAAACCTCCGTGTCTCGCAGCACGAATGGTATTATCGACCTGGTGAGGTTTTCTGAGGATTAAATCAGAGAGGAATGTGAAGGCTATTCAGTGCCCAGAAAAAGGGAATCAAGCAATAAGTAGAACTTTTTTGTTTGCCTGGAAACTATCAAGTATAAAGTAATGAGATGCACCCTAGGAAGATCTCTAATTTTGTCACATGGAGGTTTTTATTTTGACACACTGGGTGGGGAAGGATGAGACTGTTCAAGGACCAGCCTGAAGAAACAATGGAAGTTGTGGGAAATGTCCTCTGAGGGAGAGTGGGGTCAGCTAATGTTCAGACAGTTATTTTTCTTATTTAGGTATTTAAATGGCATACCTTAGTTATACTATGCCCAAAGACCAAGTTCTCATTTTCCCCTCTAAACCCATTTTTTTTTTTACAATATTTCTCCTAAATTTTTATAAGTACCAACTCCATTCCATCAATTGCTTAGGGCAAAACCTTGCCATTACCATTGCCCCCTCCCTTTTTCTCAGGTCCCACATCCAGCCCATGAGTGAATCCTATCAGCTTCACCATCAAAATATAGAGATTTCCATCACTTCTCACAGCCCCTACTACTGCTTCACTCCTCCCCACCATCAGCTCTGCCCAGACTATCCTAATAGCCTAATACCTAGCCTCCCTGCTTCTGCTCCTGCCTCCTGTAGCCAGAAATCCTCCCATGGCTTTCTATCTTACTCAGAATAAAAATTAAAGAACTAACAATAGCCTACAAGGTCCACCATGATCTCCCCAACATAGCCAATAGCTATGTGACTCCATTTCCCAACTCACTTTCCCACAATCTGCTGTGGCTACTCTGCTCAATTTGTTCTCCCTAGAACAGGACCTTTGTACCTCCTGTTCCCTCTACCTAGACTGGTTCTTTTTCCTATTTCCTTTAGGTCTCAGCCGAAACAGGAGAGCAGGAGGGCAGAAGGACAGGAGGGGAGAGGGGGGAGAGAGAACTTAAATTCCTTTCAAGGCACTTATTTCCACTCAATTATTATATATTTTTACTTATTTAGTGTTTATCTTCCTCTCATAGAATATAAAATCAATGGGAGCAAGGACTTTGTATTGTTTTCTGCTTTGTCCTCAGTGCCTAAACCTGTTGCTTGCCATTAGTAGGTACTCAGTATATATTTGTGGAGTAAATGAGTGGAGATGAGATCAAATTTGCAGGGCAGCAAATACACAGGTTGTGGAAGCAGATGCCTAGAGAGTAAATTTGGGGGACAAAAAGGAGAAAAATCTAAAGGGAATTTTTCATGAAACTCTCCTGTGTAGTATCCTATCTATTCCCAGAACTTTTAATACAACATTACTTGTTAATGTTTAGTAAAATTGGATCTGTTTAGAGAAATGCAACCAAAAAGCCTTAATAAGGGTTTAGGGGCCTTCACAAAAAATATTCTCAGGAGACTTCCACATCTGAGTTACACTATTCTAGGCAAATGTGTGATTACAATACTAATGTCTATTCTAATAATTTATTCTCTCCATATGAGACCTTTGACATGTTATCTCATACCATGTATATTTCAACACAGAGACATATATGAAACATGAACTTTTTAATGTAATAAGTGTACACAACTAATTTTTCTTTTCTAATCATAATAATGCAAACAAAGCTATTCCAAATCCTTTGTTCTTGCCAGAAAATATGAAGGATTAAATTAAAGAGACAAGCCAGTTTGTTTCACCCAGCTTGAGAAAGGCTGGAGACCATGGAACTCCTCAGTTGCCCTGCAGGCTGCCCTTTCAACTCCCCTTCCCTTTAATGTTTTCCTATCTCCTCTAGCCTGAAGGCTTGGGCCTGTTTGTTCCGTAATAAACATTTTCCAGTGTAGGAAATTGTATGAGTCGAGGCAGATTTACTTAAGATACATGAACCAGGTTAATGATAGGAAATTGAAATCTTCATATTTTGCTAATCATCTGTCACTTCTATATCATCTCACTCTCTCTGTGTCCTGTAGTCATACAACAGGAGATTATTAAACCAATATCTCTCCAAAATGCTGCAGAGAAATACTGTCAGATTTCAAGCCCTCTTCTTTTTGCCACTGTCTGCTATGAAACTCTGGGTTAGTCACCATCCTTTATCAATCCAAGTCAAGCACTTCAAAAATTAATGAAGGTTGCTAAAAATTATTGTAGATATTGATGTAATCTCCACCCTTATCCAACAATTATAGAGTTAAAACTCAGAGAAGAAATATATACTCATTCAGCCCAGCTGGTATGGCTCAGTGGTTGAGCATCAACTTATGAACCAGGAGTTCACCATTCGATCCCTGATCAAGGCACATGCCCAGGATGTGAGCTTAATCACCCTTAAGGGGTATGCAGGAGTCAGCAGATCAATGATTCTCCCTCATCATTGGTGTCTCTCTCTCTCTCTCTCTCTCTCTCTCTCTCTCTCTCTCTCTCTCTCTCTCTCTCTCTCTCTTCCCCCTTCCTTTCTAAATCCAATCAAAATATATTTTTTAAAAAAAGAAATGTATACTCATTCTTAGAAATTTACTCATTTACAGATATCACATTACTACAATGTATTAGGCTCATGACATAAAATTGGTTTCCTATACCTCAAAGTTCCAATAGGAATCTCCACTGGTTTTCTCTTTTACATCCCTAATCCTATCTAATAAAGAGGGGGTGTGCAAAATGACTATCATGCTGTCACAAAGATGGCAGTCCCATAGCCACAAGACGGCGGTGCTCAGTCCCCTCAGCCCCGCTGGAGTCCCCCAGTCCTTTCAGCCCCACTGGAGGGGTGGCAGGCACACAGTGCGGCTGGACCTGCCCACTGCCACCAGAGTCCCACAGTCCTTTCAGCCCAGTCAGGGGGAGCGGGGGTAAGGATGGGGGGCGCCGCAGGCGCATGGTGTGGCCAAACCCGCACTCAGCCCCCCAGCTCCCTAGGGCCATTCCAAGGCACAAGCAAGCCTCAGATGGTGGCTTCCCAGTCACCTAGGGCCAGCCAAGGCTTGCACTGCCAACAGTGGCAGCAGCATAGGTGTGATGGAGCCCTGAGGGCTCCCCAACTGTGAGAAGGGGCAGGCCAGGCTGAAGGAACACCCCCCTGCAGTGCATGAATTTTCATGTACCAGGCCTCTAGTTTGATATAATCCCAGTATCCTATTTTCAGATTGAGTCAGTTTTGAAGTGTAGGCACTGGTTTGTTAAAGTGACAAATGTAATGTTGCAAAAACAAATGCACAGCAACTAAAACATATAATTAGTTCGCTTACATAAAAGAAAAAGTAATGGGTACATATATGATTTTCTAAAACTTTCCCTCAATTCCCCACAAGTATAATATATATGAGCTTTATATTTTGCAAATAGTAGAAATTTGGATTCTCCACATCCATCCCACCAGCTGCCCTTGGGATTTAGGGCAAATCATAAGAGGGGATTAGGATGTTAATTTTGTCTGTGTGAGTCTACCTTTATATTGTCTGCAAGCACAAAAGAGGAAAAGAGAGCCCCTGATGTTCTTCACCACTAACTTCCATTAGCTATAAAGGTTTTCATCAGGAAATCCTTGAAGAGTAAGTTCCAGAATGTGATTATTTATCTGCTATGAATTATATTTTTATATTTATTATTGTTTTGCATTTTTAGTCTCTCCTTTAATTATTGCCTGAACTGTTTACATTTACAAAGTATAAAACTGTAGAATCATTTCCCAGAGATTTAATATGCGAGAGACTTCATAGATTTTTTTTTGTTAAAATGTCATGGTGGTAAAAATCATTTTTATCTCTCTTGATATTGCAGACCCTGTCACAAAACCCATGGTACAGATTCAGCCTGCCTCTGGGGCTGTGGAGTATGTAGGGAACATGACACTGACATGCCTGGTGGAGGAAGGTACCCGGCTGGCTTACCAGTGGCTAAAAAATGGTAGACCTGTCCATACCAGCTCCAACTCCTTTTCTCCCCAAAACAACGTTCTTCATATTGCTCCAGTGACCAAGGAAGACATTGGGAATTACAGCTGCCTGGTGAAGAATCCTGTCAGTGAGATGGAAAGTGACATCATTATGCCCACCATATATTGTAAGTTAAAAAAAAAAAAATCATGACTTTTCTTCTGGGAAGTTCTCACAAGGGTAGTCACAGAGAATATCAATACCAAATGCCATTTGGTTTTTATAGTGCAGCTATACTCACACTTCCTAAGCACTGTCTTTTCATGAAATATATTTGCTTACATAACCCTATTTCTTGAAGTTCAAGTTGAGATACTGGCCAAGGGCCTTTCAGAATACATTTTGTGACTTAGTGCATTGTGTGACCTTATTTCCAGTGGGAAATAGGAACCTCAATTTCAAGAACCCAGAACTAGGTGAAAGACACTAAGTTATTCATCCCTAAGGAGTATAAGTTGGTCATCTTAGACTAGAAGAGAGATGTGCTCTGTACCTGACCAAAGGGGAAAATAATGTGTCCAGGCTGTTCTCTTCCCTCCCCAATTCTCTCAGCTCCATGTTTAGAGTCAGGGTATAGGGAGGATCATAGTCAGAGAAGACAGTTATTCCTCAGTAAGGTATTCAGTTTCCCAGAGAACAGCACTTATTTCAGATTTCAATTCTCTTTGGTCCTTTTTGTTTCTGCTATTGTTTAATCTCATGTGCACAGTTAAGTTAATCAAACTCTTCAGTTCATGCCAAAACATCAGCACCAACCCAAACACGATTCCTCTCTTTATTATATTTTAAACCCAGTCCTCTCTACTCCCGAGCACCACCTCTAGCATGTTTAATATCACATTGTAATGTTAGCTTTGCACAGAGTTTCTTAACCTCCACCCTAGTGACATTTTGGGCTGGACAACTTCATTGTTATGGGATGTTTATGGGATGTTTAACAGCATCCCTGACTTCTACCCACTACATATCGATACCAACACCCTCCAGTTGTGACAACTAAAAACATCTCTGGACATTGAAGTATGTTCCCTGGAGTGTGAGAGGGGGCAAAATCTCCCCTAGTTGAGAACCAATAGCCTATCCCACTGGGAAATCTTTTTATCAGATACCATGTAGCTCAGAGCACAGCTACAACAGCAGTGTGAACAGGAACAGTGAGCCATGGCAGAGGACTTCTCACCCCTGTGGACCGAGGATAGAGGGTTCAGCTGGTTGAACCATAAGGGTAGAATTAAGCCTGGCAAACTCAGAATTCAGTGAGTTTAACGATGAGCCAGTTCCTTCTGTCAGAAATGGAAGAAATCTTATCATTAAAGAGTGCCAAAGACAGAAATTACGCTTTTCACAGAGAAATACCAAAACACCACTCACTGCCAGCAAATTATATAAGATTTGTTTCAATCATTAGTTGTGTTAATATCAATAACAATGGTACTATTTTTAGTTTATAGCTGAACTTTTAACTTTATTTTTAGTTTTACATAAACTTATATTCTGATAACATTGTGGGGAAAAAAAAAAAAAAAAAAAAAAAAAAACTCTGTGCGCCGAGAAATAGAACCATAGAGGAAATATAAACTGACTATAATATTCACAACCAGCATTGAATTGGAGTGAAAATTTTGCTACCGTCTATTTATTTGGTACTGACTGTTTACTATGTGGTCATAGTCTTGACTGAAAAAGGCTATTCTGATATGAATTAAAACTTCCATTCGACTCCAAGTAGTACAGACGTAAGCTTCAAGTTACTTAAACAGATGTAAGGAATGTGAGCAAACTGAATCAAATCAAGGGCTATGCAGACAAATCCTTACATTATTGTTTTGTCTAAATGGCTTATGTTCACATAGAAAAGGTACAACATGCAAAACAAGATATTAAACCAACCAGATTTTATCTACTGAATATTAATCTTGAAGAACCATCATCATTCAGTGCAGTGACAGGCAGCAGGAAGTGAAACCCTGTTGGAGCATTCCCTATGGTATGGGTACCCCCAGGGGCACGGGAAGAGTTTGGTGGGGTACGCGTGGCACTGGAGTTTGGTGGGGATATGCACTGCACCGTGCTTAGCTGCGCCTAATTCTACGTTCTCATGAGTACAAGGGGTACTCAGCATTACGAAAATTGTAGAAGGGGTACACATATGTCAAAAGTTTGGGAAACACTGCCTGTTAACCATAGGAAACCTGATCATGATTTGTTTTGATCACAGGCACTAATTAACATCACATAATTTGGAGAGTCAGTGGGTAGCACAGTGGTTTTGGGCCTCAGCTGTGAATCCAGACCGCCTGGGTTAAAGACCTGGTTCTGTCCCTTTCTGTGCATCAGTTCCCTCATCTCCCTATCTACACTCTCCCCAATGTAAGAGTAATGGAGGATTAAGTGAAATTTTATGTATAAAGAAGTCAGCAAGAGGCACATAGGAAGAACTCAATAATGTTAGTTCTTTTTTTCCCCTTTGAGACAGAATTATACTGACTTAATTGGCAACATGGCAGCAAGAAGTTATGAAAAGCCTGGGTAATTTAGAAGACACCTGCAAACAGAAAACCGAAAGAATACCTTAGGACAAACTTTTTCTTCCCTAAACATTACTATATTTTAAATTAACACACTTCATTTTTCTATATGAAAATATTTTCTTTTCATTAATTCTTTCTTACATTTATCTCTCCTTTTATCTGTCTATCTTTAAACTCTGGCCACAAAGTTAAATAAAATATTCCTGGAAGAAATTGCATATATACTTAGGCACATGAAAGAATCATTTGTATTTTTACATTTTTATTTTACTATCTTGTTTATTTTAATCTAAAAAAGGGAAAATAAGATTATTCTTTCAACATGTTCAAGTTTATGCTCCAATCACATTATGATCACAGAATATGCTGATACACAGTGTGCAAAGTATAAAAATGGGGAGAAAACCCACAATTACACTAGTAAATGTTAAATATTATACTTTAAATGCTATACCATTTTCACTTTCCTGTGTTATTTGAATTAAAATATCCTGATTTGAATACAGTAAAGTCATATTTTCAAATATATCTTCTTTTACAGACTGAACGTTCTTATTCACATCCTTTTAGATGTAATCTATGGACATTTCAGAGACAAATGTCTGTCCTGAGTGACAGTAGAAAGAATATTGAGAAAATTTACAAATGTAGATTCTATTTATACATTGTAAAGATGAATACCTGCATTTAAGATTTTTTACTCTTATTAGAGGTAATTATAAATATAGTATTATTATAATTAATTTTCTTTAGTATTCTTATTCAAATGCAAAAGCCTTCTCTTAGTCAACACTTAATGATATTCACTCATTCATTCATTTATTCGCTCATTCATTTATTCATTCTCTCATTTTGATTCAAAAATCAAATTATCATTGTATTTATTCTAAGCAATTATTACATAGAAACATGCATAGAATATAGAAACACTACCCAGAGTTGTTACTTTATTCATTTTTCTTGCTATAACTCTTTAGCCCTATTTTATTGTTGTTTTCTTTTCTTGGTTTGGAGTTAAAAGAATTAAATAAAATATATAATCTGAAGATTTTTCATTTATACTTTCTGTTGATATGGCATCAACATGTCTGCAATCTTTGTCATTCCATGCAAACTGGGTATGCATGCCTTAGTCGATGTTGTACCTCCTTCTCTTTCTTCACCGGCTTATGTGCTCCTGGTTACATTCTCTTCCTTCACATTTTCTCTAGAAAGGCTCACCTGCCCCACTCTGTCTCACTTCTATGCCGTCGGGAGGTTCGCTGTGCTCCTGCAGTTCCCGATGCATATCTGCCCTCTGGTACTCGTTGAATTATATTTCCCTGAGTCTCTTACCCTCATCAGTGCTCCATGCCCAGACTTATTCACCTTTGTACCCCCAGGGAAATACTTGCCATAGATTATGAACTCAATCAAGAGTTGAATTTGACTAGAATGGAACAAATTATCTTTCTTCATATTTCTCCAAATTCTAGTGTTACTTAATGATGGTGTAAGAGACTATATTCCCATTACAAGATAACGGCTTCTTAAAGTGCTTGTGCTCTGCGTAGTTGTTGTTTTCCTGACCTTAGACAGTTCCTCAATAATGTAGTGTCAGATTCCAGTATTCCCCCATAAAAGTCCCCACCACAATTTAGAATTTCAGCATGAATCACCTAATCTGTTTTCTTAAGGCACTGTTTCTATGACAGCTTCTTTCATGAAAGCAGGAATTACTTTTTATTCTGGCAGAAAAAAAAAATGTGTAACAAAATCTACCATTGACCATATATTTATGAGGATATGATGTCATATTATAATTTGGTATTGATCCTGGTAGAATACAATGTCAAGCCAATAATTCAGACAAATATCTACTTGCAGCTCATGAAATGTATATGCCTTTCAGCTCTTGTAAATAATAATCCAGTAACCACTGCATTTTGTGTGTAGCATATGGCACCACTGCAGGGAAGTACTCTAAGTGATAAAAATTAAGGGGGGGCGGGGGGGAGGAAGGTCATTCACAGTAAATACTTACCATCTGCTCCCAAGCAGGATGGCAAGCAGCATCATGATGAAAACTTAGGTACTGTTGCCACCCAGCCATAAATTGTTAAAGAGAACAGATGATATGTTATTTTACAAGTCATTTAGTAAACAGCCCTTCCTGAGGCAAACGGTTCATTTCTATTGGGAGTTCTCTGCCAAAGGCAAGGAATTGAACCGCAATCCAAAGTCAAAAGAGAATTATCTTTCTGCTTTCATCTTCAACGTCAGAGGTCGAATATTGTTTGAATCACCCCAAAGGTCTTTCACTGGATTGCTCATTTCCATGAATAATGTACTAGGTTGCACCTTGGAGTAAAGTGATGGTCAGCCTGAAATGATAATGAAAAAAAGAAATAACAACATAGTTCATTAAGGAGAAAATAGATTGATTATAAGCAATGTGTAGAGTGTAAAAGAGAAATGGGTAAGATCTATATGGGAGGGAGGGAGGAAAGAAGAAAGACTAGAAGATAATACAGTGAAATATGGTTATTTGTTCTCTGAGTGTTGAAATTACAAATAAGTTTTCATCCTTGTGCTTCTCTGAATATTAGGATTTTCTTCAATGAACATGTATTTTTTTATATAATCAATTTAATAGGTTACATTTTAAGAAATAATATCAGAAGCAAGCAACCAAAATGCTTCTAGTTTTAGGTTCTAAGAACTGTAGGAAATGCTTGTGGGAAGGGGAGGTAGGGAATTTGGGGTTTTTGAGGCTAACTATGAAAAGCCAAATAACATATAATTAAGACAGCTAGAGGACAAAAGATTATGCCAATCGATGAAACCCAAAAAATGGGGAAGTAGCAAAATCAAAATAAATATGAGTGTTGGGAAAATAAGGTAAGATAATCAGATTCCTTTATTTAAAGTCATGTTCTAAACTAGAGTGATGTTATTAAATTAGGTAATCAATCTAATTCACCAGCCTTCTCTATAAATGACTATGGGCTTTCTCTGCAAATCAAACCCACTCTCCAAAATGAAAGAATTACTATTTTGGAGAATATTTCATTATGTTGCAAGGTCCTAAGGCAATTCCAAATGAAGATTAAAAATCAACAACAACACTTTAATGTCAGCACACTTTGAACAAAATATCCCTGACTTTTATGTGTGTTAAGTATCAGGCCATTTGTTTTTATAGTCACCATCTAGAAACCCTGAAAACCAGTGGGAAGGCAGTGGTTTAAACTGAATGGCTGTATTTTTAAGACCACACTTTCCTTCTATATCTGCCTTGCTCCGCTCTCAGACTTCCAGTTTTGTATACAAACTTGGGTCCCTTGTTGTTCCAAGTCTCAGTGGTTGCCTCCCACTGGTTTTCTGCTACGTGAACCACAACCAGCGCCCGCCCACCGGGTGGTGGCCTCGGCTTCCCTAATGTCCTACCCATGATGCAATTTGCCGCTGCACTGAAATGAGAGGACTGTGTTACAGGGTTCTAAAGCAGTCACAGGAAAGGGACATTCATTTCTCTTCACTTTAATGCTCCGTGTCCAGCTCCTGGTTACTTCAAACTTTAATGTTTGCTTTCTGAAAGCAGGATCATCTCATGTATACACATTAATCTACAGGTTTCTTTCAGATGTCTGTGTGTCTTTAGGAAGCAAATATGTGTAAAGTGTATGTTCCCTAAGTAAATATAATCCATTGTTTGCATCTTTGCGTCTGTTATATCTTGGGAAATTTGTTTTCCCAATGGTAGGTTGGTCAGAAAATGCTGATATAATAATAGAGAACTATTTTGGCTATCTGAAAATTTGAGGCAGGCTTGCCAGTATGCAAAATAGCTTTAATACAGCATTAATCATAATGTTTCAAAGATAAAAAGAACTTTAACACCCCTTGCTGGTTTGGCTCAGTGGACAAAGAGTCCCAGGTTCGATTATTGGTCAAGTAGGTTGTGAGTTCAATCCCCAGTGTGGGGCATGTGAGAGGCAGCCAATTAATGATTCTATCTCATCATTGATGTTTCTATCTCTCTCTCCTTTCCCCCTTCCTCTCTGAAATCAATAAAAATATATTTAATAAAAAAGAATTTTAACAACTATTCATTTAATCAACCTTTTTAGTTGATAATAAAGGTGAGGAAAATTTGACCCAAAAAGTTTAAATTACTCCTGAAGAAAACTTAACTAATCATTGAAAAAAATCATGATTTAAACTACCATTCTATCCTACTGTCTAGTCTTAAATTATTTCACATAATGAGAGATCAAATAGCTAGTTCTTTAAAAAAAAAATCAGAACCTTTAAGATTAGTTTATTATTGAGCAAACCATCCACAGACTTACCCAGCTTACAAATTTTTTGAGAGTAGGAACTAGGTCTTAACACATTTTTTTTAATCTCTTATATACTATGTTATCTAACACCTAGTATTTATCAAACAAGGATTTGTTGATTAGTAGAGTACAGAATATCTAACTCCTTAGTAATTTATTGTAGAACTAATACTATTACACAAAAAAAGATTGTGAAAGTTATATCACTTGCATTTTTAGGAAGGTAATATGAAAGATTAAATGCATGTATGTTAGAGTCCTAGCTATACTATGTAATAGGTATGTGACCAAAGCAAAATTAATTTTTACATTATCTCTTCATCTTATAAAGAGGATGATAATCTACTTTAGGTGACTGCTTTAAATATTAAAAGTGGTTATCTATATAAGTAAAGTGCCTTCAGATGACAAATATCCAGTAAATGTTGGTTATGGTCAACTGAAAAATGAGTGCCATCATGCATGAACTTTGAAGTATTTGGAACTTAAACCAGGATTTAGACTGAATGATAAAAACCTATCCAGCTAGAGAATATTTTTTAGAATATATTTTTATTGATTTCAGAGAGGAAGAAGAGAGAGAGAGAAACATGAATGATAAGAATCATTGATTGGCTGCTTCCTGCACAATGGGGATCAAGCCCTTGACCAGAATCAAATCTGGGACCCTTCAGTCCACAAGCCAACATTCTATCCACTGAGCCAAACTGGCTAGGGTAGGAATATTTTTTTAATCTCTTTCTTTACTCTCTGAAGAAAGCAATTGAAAATGTGTCTCCATCTGCAGGCAATCTGATGCCATAGAAATAGCAAAATGCTATAGGAACACTGTAGTGTGAGGAAAAAACACCATAGCCTATCCATAATTAAGTAGTTTATTGATAATCAATGAATATTTGTTAATGATAATGAAGATGTACTTTTAGCCCTGGTCCACATTGTTCAGTGGTTAGAGTGTCAGCCCACGCACCAAAGAGTGGCAGGTTCAATCCCCAGTCAAGTGCATGTACTTGGGTTGCAGGTTTGGTCTGCATTCAGGAGGCAACCAATCAATGTGTCTCTCTCACATCTATGTTTCTCTCTTTCTTTCTCCGCTTCCTCCCTTCCATAGTCTCTAAAAAAATCAATGGGAAAAAATATCCTCTGATGAGAATTAACCAAAAAAATATGTAATTTTAAAATTTGTTAACTGTTAAATTGTCATGAAAATATGCACATATTGAACACCCCTTATATCTATTTGCACAAATTTATGTTCTGTGCAAAACTATGTACCTGTATTTTATAAATATTTGCATAACATATCCTAGCACTGAGAAAAAAAACACATATAACATTCAAAATATGACTGTCAGATAAAATAGTGGCCATAATCTATTTTAAAATTGCTTTATAATACAATTACTATTTCAGAAAGATTGGATTTGTCTATCAAGATTGCATATTTATCAATCTGTTGCTCAAAAGCTTAGCCCCATGATTATGACAACAGTGTCTATAAATTTGTAATATACCAAGTTTCAAAGCTTTTGCTATTTCACATAAGGTCAATCACATCTCAAATAATTATTATTTCCATGGATATTAGAATAAAACATTTTAGGTCCTTATCATTTATTGGGACTCTAAACAAAGACCTATTGCCCAAGTTTATCTTGAAGACTTTCTTAGAAAAGAAAATGCTGCCAAGTTCTCCCAAACTTGTAAACTATGTCATGGTTATTTATGTTACCTTTTTTTGTTTTTTTTAAACTAATGCAGATGGACCTTATGGACTTCGAGTTAATTCTGATAAAGGACTAAAAGTAGGGGAAGTGTTTACTGTTGACATTGGAGAAGCCATCTTGTTTGATTGCTCTGCTGATTCTTATCCTCCCAATACCTACTCCTGGATCCAAAGGACTGACAATACAACATATGTCATTAAGCATGGGCCTCTCTTGAAAGTTGCATCTGAAGAAGTAGCCCAGAAGACAACTGACTATGTGTGCTGTGCTTACAACAACGTAACTGGGAGACAAGATGAAACTCATTTCACTGTCATCATCACTTCTGTAGGTAAGTGTGACATGAAAGGCCAGGATCCCAGTGAGACACACACATACGCTGGCCTTACTCTAATTACGTGGAAGAGAATACCACTGTGGGGTTGTTTATATATTCTAAGAAACTCTCTTTCCTGAGTTTTCGAAGCCATGCTTCTATGAGTCAAAGAAAGAAAACCCAAAACAGAATGGAGAAGTAATCCAATTGCTAACTCTGAAGGACTGATAAGACAAAGAGAATTCAGTAAATTATATATTTCAAAATATGCATTCTTGCTTTCCTGATTTTACAAACAGGAATAGAAGCAGGCTGCTAACTTGAAAGGCTTATGTCTATTGTTGCATTAGGTCAGTATAAATTTCCAAAATTTGGAAATCTGGTTTTCCTACTATGTGACTCCCCTTCTTACTGTCTTTCATGGGCTACTCTTCCTCTTTTATAATTTAAACATCTGAAATCTGTGGAAGTTCTCTAAGGGGTACTGGAAACTTTTGTTAAGTCTGTGATATTTTACATTTCTAGAAGTCATCTGATTTTTCAGAAAGTTCATGGAACACAAAGTTTAAAATATTTATGTCTATCAAATTCCTATCTTTCTGAGCCTCCTCTTCTCTTAATAATAATAGTATGATATTATTCTTTTGTATGGTTTCATTTACTCCCCTGGTTTCATGAAACATTGATGCGTCCCAAACCTCTATCTTTAAAGCTCTAAAACTGTATATCTAGTTCCCTTCTAGATGTCTTCAGTTTGAAGTACCAAAGGCAGCATACAAGTCCAACATGTCAAAACTAAACTATTTTGTTTCCTCCAAATTACTATTCTTTCTGTATTTCATGCTTAAGTGAATGGCCCTACTATCTTATCAACCTGAGCCAGAAATATAAATGCCATCTCAGACTCTTTTCTTGTGAATTGCCCTACCCAACATCCAATCACCAACTTTGTACATTCGTCTTCCTTCCTATTTCTCAGATCCATTCTTTTCTCTCCTTCTCTCTTCTTGTTCCTTTCCTTTCTTCTCCTTCTCCTTCAGCTCCTCCTACTCATCTCCCACCTCCTCCTCTTTCACCTTCTTCTCCTTTTAATTCTTTCTCCGTTCCAATCCTATTCCTACTATGAAATAAGAAGCCAGATTCCACTTAGAGCAGGTCTGGATAGCAGCAGTGTTCAGGGTGCCTATGATTAGAGGAACAAGTTTGTAAAAGGAGCCACCATTAATAACTACCTTCTCTAAGGATGTCTTCTCTTTCTCTGTCTTTATAGCTATGGTGCCTAGAATAATGCCATAACATAAAGTCAATATATTTTGTTGAATAAGCAAGAAGATAATCCTTGTAATCAATGGGCTACATTTTTCAGTATGTGGCCTTTGAGCAATGAGCATCAAGATCGCCTAGGGTGGTCTAATAATGTATTAGTATATTCATTAAGACACCTCAGACCTATCGGAGTAGGTTCTTGCAACTAGGATTTGAGAATCTGAATATTTAGCAAGCATATGTGTGACAACCTCTTATTTAAGGTGTTTCTCTCTATTGCCTATTGAATTTATTAAAAATCTCTTAAAGAGCTATTAATAATTATGACTATCACAATCCTAAAGGCTAATAAGGAAATATATAGTGGTTGGAGTCCTGGAGTCTTTAAAGTTGAGGGTAGTATTCATAATTGCAAAACCATCTGAGTACATTAGGATTTATATACCTGCATAGTGAGGTTTGGGGTTTTTTATATGAAGAAAATACCACACTCTCTAGAAAAATGCTAACCAGCAAACTTTCTGCAATGAAGGAAGCATTCAATGTCTACACTAGAATATGGTTATGCAACTGAGGAACTGGAATTTTACTTTATTGCATCTTTATTAATTTTAATTTAAATGTGCATAGCCACATGTGTCTAGTGACTACCATATTGGACAATGCAGCTCTAGAGTTTTACCTGAATAATATTTCATTTGGGCAGTAGATAATGCAATTCCCTTATACTGTATATCCCAGACCATATGTGTAAATAGGTGATATAAATCAAGCACTCATTCATTATTTATTTAGCACCTATTAGGGGCCAGATACTAGGGTAGGCATTGAGAATGACAGTTTAAAAAATAATTCCTGCTAGTAAGATGCTTATAACTTAATTTGGGTAGCAGGCATTTAAGCAGCTAAAGTGTGACCTTTGCTTTCTATTTTGCCAGGTTTGTAATAGACTTAAACAGGTTTTTACCTCAATGGGTAACAAAAACCTGATTTTGAAGCAACCCATAATTAAGCATATAAAAATCTTATCGGCAATCTGGATGTAATCTTAGACTTGTTCTTATGCTTATTGAAATAAAATCATGGTTATAATATGTAACTATATACTCTTTCCCACTGCCTAAACTTTCTCCATTAATAAGTAGCCAAGTTATTTTCATAAGATCAGAAACCCCCAGTATTTGATGAAGGTCTTATTACTAAGGTTCAAAAACAGCTACCGTCTTAATATCCAATAATTGCCTTTTGCAAATTCTAAAAAAACCTGTTTGAACTGTACAAAGACCAGGCATTTGTTATTATAGTAAATAAGAGGAGCAGGTGCTTATTTTTCAGAGGGATTCAGGGTTGTCAACATTAGTGACCTCTTTGTGGTTTTTAAAAATATATTTCAACCCCCAAACATCCTCAGAACTTTATAGCAGTGGCCAGTGACAAATAAAATGAGTAATATTGATGTGTTTTTGTTAGGCATTGATTTTTTTTAAAAAAAAGTTTTCCAAATGAATAATAATCTCTGCAATGCAGATTAAGTGAATACCAACCTACAGTTAAAAAAAAATGAACATCACTTGTAACTATCAATTGAACACTTACTGGCCACTCTGATGTGCAATCTATATTAAGATCTGTGGAGAAATAGAAATAATTTTGAGGGATAACATATCTGCCTTTGAAATATTTACAGAACCAAACTGTGTTTGGTGTAACTAGAATCAGGTTACAAGAAACAGATGAACCTCTTTATTTTTAATGAGGCACATAATGTGGCCAACCAAAAAGTCTCAGCAATAAGATGTAGAGGGCAAAGGAACAAGGAGTCAAAGATGACTCCGAGGTCACCAGTATGGAAAGAAAATAATGAGGTCAGGAAATAATCAAAAGTTTTATTGGGGACTTACAGTTTGGGAGAGGAAGGCTGGAGAAAGTCACAATTAGCTCTGTGTTTTCCTGCCTGTATAGAATGGTGCCTTCTACCACTGTGGGCTACCAGTGTTATCTACTTTGAGTTATTAATTGACCTTTCTGTATCACAAGGAGATATCTTACAGAAAACAGGGCAATGGTTAAGGTCACATAGCTATAAGGAATAAAATAATATCTGAATTCAAAGCCCTTGTTTCTAGCCACTATACACTAAACTGTTTTTGATTGAGAATATCAATAAGACTCTGGTGTTTCTATATATAAGATAGTGTGCATTTTCTCATCATCTTATGCTATATACAAAGAGACATTCCAGTTTGCCAGTGACATGTGTATATATTTCTACTAAGGAGAAATTAGGAAATATATGTAAGTAAAAATAATATCTAGAATATAAGTTTCAAGGAAAGACTAGAAACTAAAATAGTTAATTAGCATCTGTATTTTGAAAAAAACAACAACACCTAATTAAAGACTTCCTTGAATGCAGGCATTACCACTTTTAAATTTTAATGGATCTAAATCACTATTGTGACATGTAATATATATATATATATATACATATATATATATATATATAAAATGGAAGTACATGAGATTAAAATTCAAGTGTTCATGTTTAACGAAGACATGCAAATTATTAGAGTTCCTAAGATCCATATGCCTGTATTTTGATATTTAGACATACTACAGTTTTGTTTTGTTTTAATTTGTATGTGATCCTGAGAAAGAATAGGAAAATGACGCATGGCAGGAAAATGAATTTACTAATTTCTTCCATCTATTTAGAAACTTCTCAGGATAAGATGTCCGGTAGGTGTATTTCACTTTGGCTCACGGAAGGAAACAACTAAGATAGAACTACATTTCTGAGAACTTAGGTGACATCCCGTGAGCATCTAGCACAGAATAACAGAATCTGTCAGATGGGGCCATGGTGGAGTGTGAACATAGCACATCCCTCAATATGGCGCCTTCATCTCTGTAGGGACATGAATCAGCCGCAGTAATCAGTGAACATATTGGATGTGAGAGATCTCCAGACTCCATTCTGGTCTAGAAATAAGCATGCTGCCTGGTAGCATATGGCTGTCCCGTTTCGGGTGCAGTCTCTCAAACAGCCGGGTTGCGATACCATGGACGCCACACCTCTTGCCCATATTTACACTTCATATGTGATTTCCTTTTATTTGTTTGCTTAAGGAGGGGACAGATAGCATTTGCACTAAGGCTTTGGTAAATGAGTCAATCATGTTTAAATAAGGGGGAGAATGGCATGCTATGTTCTGAAGAGTAGAAACCTCTCTGAAAGGAGAAAGACTGGTGCTCCTGCAAGTGTCCAGAACTGCATTTAGGATCCATGGCAGCTTGGTGAGAATTTCCCTGCTGTCTGAATGCACCTGCCTACAGCTGAGACTACAGCTATGCCCCTTGATTTGATCCTTGACCTGTTTGACACTTTTTATTTTGTGAAAGGGGGCAAATTTCAAATGTCAGACCCGGGAAATCTTGCATTTTCTGAGACAGAATGAAACCAAGGATTTGGACTGATGGGCGCTGGTCACTACAGGATGCTTCTCTGATGTAGGTCAAACAAGGGGAAGAGAGGCAAGAGGGCAATAAGGAAGACGTCTAAAGAAAAAAGGAAGTAATGGAACAGGGAATGAGAGGGACCTTTTGTAGGTAGGACATAATGGGTAAATTTGGTCATTTTAGCACATACATATCAAAGGTGAACAGCTTAAAATAGTGGAGAGGGGAGGAAATATGACTTACCTAGTAGAAGATGTCCATTCATTATATGTTACACCTACTACCAGGCCTCAGAATCCTGAAAGTGCCAGCAAAGAGCTGACATATGCCAGAGCGTAACTTCACCATTAGAATGAGACGTACTCTGAGATAATAACTACTAGCATATTTTCAAGTTTATAAATAAGGAGCAAAAAGCTGAGACTACACTTAAATGTTTTTCTGCAGTTTTTCTCAGGGTCAAGTGCTTTGCAAAAAGTTGATTAGAATACATAAGCACTGACTATTTTTGAGGGGTCAGGGGGTATTAAATTTTGGTAAATCTTGTATGAAGGTAGTCTGGCCATCAAGAAGAGAAGAGTTAAAGCACATCAAGTCCAGTGTTAGAAAAGGTTAAAGGAAAAACTGAATATATAGGAATCTACCTGCCAATTACAGAACCGTTCTTTACCCACAGATTAGCAGGAAAAACTGAACTTACAGTCAGAAAAGAAAAAAAAAAAAAAAAACTTATGTTTCTTGCTGACTGTGGCAAATATTTTAGTTTCTGTGAGATTTTTTTTTTATCTGATCCTAGAAATGGTGCTTTAATTTTTCTTACTATTTTCATTATTATTGATATGATATATCTATACCAAATAAATGGGGAAAATATATACATTTGGTTTTATATATACACTAGAGGCCCAGTGCACGAAAATTCGTGTACTCAGAGGGCTCCCTCAGCCTGGCCTGCACCCTCTCACCATCTGGGACACCTCCAGAAGGGTCCCTAGGCCTCGCCTGAGATCAGGGACTAGTGGGGCTTTTCTTCCCCAGGCTGCAGGCAACTGACCCCACCCCGTCACTGTCACTGATTGCCATATGTGCAGCACTGCCCCTCTTCCCCTGCTGGCAATAGGCTGGGGTGCAATGGGCCTCCCTCTTTCTTTGTTGGGGAGTAGGGCCACCCTGTGAGGGGCCATCTGCCTACCTGATCACCCCTAACTGCTGGTCTGCCTACCTGATCACCCTTAACCACTCTGCCTGCCTGATTGCCCTTATCTCCTGCTTAGGGGTGGGGCCATCCCAGAAAGGGGCCATTTGCCAACCTGATCTCCCCTTACTGTTTGCCTGCCTACCTGATTACCCCTAAGTGCTGGTCTGTCTACCTGATCACACCTAACCCCTCTGCCTGCCTGCCCGATTGCCCCTAATCTCTTGCTTGGGGGCAGGGACAGTCTGGCAGGGGCTGTCTGCCTACCTAATCTCCCCTAACCACTTGTCTGCCTACCTAATCTCCCCTACCCACTTGTCTGCCTACCTGTCTGATTGCCCCTAACCACTTGCTTGGGGGTGGGGACAGTCCAGCAAGGGACTGTCTGCCAATCTGATCTCTCCTAACCACTTGCCTGCCTACTTGATCACCCCTAACTGCTGGCCTGCCTACCTGATCTCCCCTAACCACTTGCATTCCTACATAATCACCCCAAACCCCTCTCTGCCTGCCTGCCTGATTGCCCCTAACCACTTGCTTAGAGGTAGGGCCAGCATTGACTTCCAGTTGATCAGCCTTTGGTTGTTACTGTTGTTATGATCCAGGGTTTTTATATATCAGGATAATGCTCAACAAAATCATCCTGATCCTGTGAGAATCAAGTAGCTTTATTGGGAATTAAAAATAGAGTATTGAGTGTTTTATTATCATTTCTAAATTATGTGCTACACATCCTTTATATCAGTAAAAATTATAACATATATATTATAGACACACACACACACATGCACACTCAAGTTTTTGAGACTCAGTTACTAGCATGTAATGGATTCATGTCATATTCACGTAATAAACTTCAAATAAAACTCTCTGGCTGCCCCAAATCATATAATAACAGAGCAACAGAGAACTTAAAAATCAACCTCTCTAACCTCCTCATTTTACTAATGTGGAAACCCAGACCTTCAGAGGCAAGTGGCTTCAGCCAAAGTTGCCCAGCTCTTTCAAGAGAACAAACCTGTGAGGTAGGACAGTCTGAAGAAAGGCTGAGACTTCACAAAGAGGTCACCCAAGTGCTAAAGTAGTTCCAAATTCAACTTTCTAACAGTGGGAGCATGTAAAGTGTTCTATGAATTATTAACAAGTAGGACAGATAATCCCCATAAATTTTATGATGTTGTAGACTAATCTAGAATCAATAAATTACCATTCTGTTCATTTTTTAAAGATTTTTATTGATTGATTTTAGAGAGAAAGGGGGAGAAAACCATTGATTTATTGTTTCACTTACTTATCCACTCATTGGTTGGGTCCTGACCAGGGATTGACTCTGCAACCTTGGCATATCAGGACAATGCTCTAACCTATCATAAACCACTTGCATTCATTTCTTCCACCCAGAGTTAAAAAGAGCTTAATTAAAATCTGTTTAAAGGCAAGAATGTTACACAAGTATTGTCATCCCATAAAAAGAACATTTTAAAAGCACAATTCTCTGAATGCATATAAAAAATTTGTAAACTTTTCATCTGAGATGGTAAAGACTTTAATAATGAAAAACAACCTGCCTAACTCTTAAAGACTTAAAAAGCATATATGATCAGCACAGTATGGGAAAATTAGAAAAGATGGAATGATTTCTATGGCTTTTTAACTGGAGTTTGACATATATGATCTATACCACATTATAAAAAGTCTAGAGGCTCAGTGCATGAAATTCATGCATGGGAGGGGTGGGGGAGCACCCTCAGCCCAGATGTTGTACACATCCAGGACCTCTCCAATCCAGGACCCCTTAGGGGATGTCCGACTGCCAGTTTAGACTGCTGACTCCTAATTGCTCACCTGCCTCCCTGCCTGATCACCCCTAACTGCCCCCATTGCCAGCCTGATCACCCCTAACAGCCTCTGCTTGCCGACCTGATTGCCCCTAAATGCCCCTCCTGCCAGCCTAGTCACCCCCAATTGCTCTCCCGGTTGCCTGGTCACCCCAACTCCCCCCCTGCCAACCTGGTCACCCCAACTATCCCCGCCCCAGCCAGCCTGGTTGCTCTCAACTGCCCCCCCTGCCAGCGTGGTCACCCCACACAGCCTGCTGATCAGTTGTTTGGTTGTCTCTCACTAAACCCCTGCTGACCTGGTCGCCCCACACAGCCTGCTGTTCAGTAGTCTCTCCGGTTGTTTCAATTGTGACGGCCCCTGGCTTTTTATATATTAGGATTCTGGGAAGATGAAAAGTGAAAAGTGCTTAAGTGGAAAGCCAAGAGAGTGTATATAGTTCCACAGTGAAAAAAGAGAAAGATTAAGGTTTCCTCCTTATCTCAGCTGTTGGAGACCTCAGCAGAGGTTTCATGTTGAAAGATGAGAGTGCAGGCTGGATATTTATTGCTGAGCCAAGTGGCCACACGCACATTTTCCAGGCTGTTAACACCCCTGTGGAATAGAAGTGACATTCCATGACTTTTGCTCCCCATTAACCTGGACAGAGACAGGCAACTTCCATGACTCATTTCCATATCAATATCTCAATCACCTGATAAAATGAGAGACACATGTTACTGCCATTTATTGGAAGTCACAACTACTCCCCACTTTATAGACGAACTCTATGATAGTCTGGAACTAATGTTAACATTACCCAGGTTAGTAAGTTATGTTAAAATAACATCAAAGTGAGGCAGCAAAAATGTCAAGAGCCTGGAACCTCCTCTGATTCTGCCACTTACTGAGTCACCTTGAGGAAGTCTCAGTTTCCTCATCTGTAAGAGAGGATAATAATAATAATAATAATAATATCCCCCTAATAAGATTAGTATAAATATTCAGTGGCTCAATGTTTCATGTATTCTTAGAAAAGAGCTTGACATATTGTAAGCAGTAGGCAGATGTTAACTATTAGCACTATATTTTATATAGGAATGCTAATAGAAGAAATGACTTGCAAAAAAAGGGAATTTTAGTCATAAAGAGGGACTTTAAATATTTTAATAATCATATATACATTCTATTTTAGGAATGAAATTTATTTATTGGTCAAAATTTAGTAAAGTGCCTTTAAAATAAACACCTCCCCTTTCACACATTTAATCAGATACCACCTCCCTAGAAAATTCACATACCCAAATCATATTGAAAGAGTGAGATGGAAGGAGAGAGAGAACAACCTAGCTTCTGGGGATGTTGTACACATGGGATCATGGTGGCAAATGCTATTGAAAATTATGACATAAAAAAAAGTATGACATTGGCTATTTGATATATGTAATACAACTTATCAGTATTATTGTGGGCAACACACCACATTTCTAATCATGCATGTCCTCAGAGTGATTGGAAATGTCCTTTAGAATACTGCATATTCTAAAATAAGTGCATTCCTCTCATTTCATCTCTCATTAATATTCTCTTTCACATAAATATTCAGTAGTGTCTTATTTAAGATGAAACATGAACAAGTCAAATTTATTACTGACCTTCAATAAAAAATATTAAAACTGTATTTCCTTTCATTTAGGACTAGAGAAGCTTGCACAAAAAGGAAAGTCATTGTCCCCTTTAGCAAGTATAACTGGAATATCACTCTTTTTGATTATATCCATGTGTCTTCTTCTTTTATGGAAAAAATATCAACCCTACAAAGGTAGGTGAAAATTAGAAAAACATTCTAAATTGCACTTATAAGTACTAAAAATATCTTACTGTGTTTTTTCTCTCTTGGTTTCAGTTATAAAACAGAAGCTAGAAGGAAGGTAATGTATATGTTCCAATGAAAATAATTTTTTTCTTAGATGCTTTTTCCTCAGTTGTTAAGACTGACAGAAATGTCAATTTGTCTTTTCAGGCCAGAAACCGAATACAGAAAAGCACGAACATTTTCAGGTAATGGCCAGGCTGAAAGGGGTTATTCTCAATGTAATGTGTATTAATGAATAGTATTGATATGAATCATTATATATAAAGTGCTAATGAACTAATAGAATTCACATAAGCTAATACTGTTGTCATACTAACAGTCCCTTACCTTTGACTATTTCCTTGATTTTATGTAAGTCACACATGTCTGTAAGACAAGCACTCTTAAAAGTGAAAGGCACTCAACTCCATTTTACAGGCATGTAAAGAGAGATTAAGTTACTTGCCCACGGCCAGGAGTTCTGAATCCTATTCCATTTCCATCGATCCTATTATTATTTTGAAAATTGCCCAGGGTTCCCTCACTTTGTGAATTCCAAAGGCAGATACAGTGCTGAGGGCTCCATCCCAGGGAGAAGAAAGAGAGGCTCCAAGGTTTGCTGCTTCTTTGTCCTCAGGCCTCACTACTGACTCCCTACTGAGCTGTTCATGGTTAACAATGGGACTTGGAATCACACAGAGCTGGGTTTTATTCCCATAAATGCCACTTTCCCCCCAGAGTCACCTTGGGAAAATTCTTTTTCTTGACCTCAACTTCCTCATCTATAGAATAAAGAAAATAACTTCCCTTCAGGGTTGCTCTGAGAATTAAATAGCACGTGAGTGGCGTGCGTAATATGATGCCTGGATGCTTAGTAAATATGGGTCTTCCTCCTCTTATCTAGTCCTTTCTCACAGATGACGGAATATTGGAGCTAGGAAAGGCCTCAAAAAGGCCCCAGGTTCCTCCTCACCACACCATTCCTGTCATTTTTTTAGATGATAGTTTAGTGATCTTGACATCATACTGTATTATATTTTGTATGTATAGGCAGCTACAGTTATCTCTTTATTTTATTAGTTCTGGTGGTCTCCGTTAGATCCAGGGGGTGCAATATCAGACTGCCAGACTGAGCCTTAGTAGCTGTAAGTCTCTGTAACCTACAAGCCAGCCCACGTGTTTATTTGAATATAGAATATGCTGTTCCCACATCAAGCTTTAAGAATACTAGTCCCAATTCAGTTTCAGTTCTCAGCTGCAGAAGGAGTGATTTCCAACACTGCTCAGTACCCATACGGCTATAGGGATTGGGGAAATTGGTTGCTTACACATACCACTTGAAGCAATCAATAAAAATACGTTTTACAAGGGCTTAAAAACAACAGCAGCAAGTTGAGGCGTCTTGTTTTTAAGTAGTATTTGTTTTCCGTTTCAGGCCATGAAGATGCTCTGGATGACTTCGGAATATACGAATTTGTCGCTTTCCCAGATGCTTCTGCGGTTCCCAGGGTTGGTTTCCCTAGTGGCTGATTAGCTGAGAAGTAGAATTCTGCTTGGGCAGAAGTGTCAGCAGCTCTCCTTTGAGCACTGGGCAGTGCAGATCAGATGGCTGCATCCCCCCGGCAGCAGTATGGCTCACAGTGGCTGGATCTGGGGAGCTAAGCATCTTCCTTAGACTTTATAAATAAGGCTGACACAAGAAAGAAAGTGACACTGATCCATAAACATTATTTGCCTGGTAAGCCCATGGGCAAGAACTAACTAGGTAGAAGGTCAAGAGAACAGAATCAATGGGGAGTCAAGATACCCTGGTTGAATCATTCCGCACCACTGCATGGACTGCAACCTGTCACTTCATCCATCTCTCCCCCTCGGCTTCCCCTGCCCGTCCCCCTCATATTCCTTGAGGTCATTGCAAAGAGGACTGATCATACCCTTGAAAAATACCTTATGCTCTTCATAAGAAAGGCACAATGTAAACTCAAAGTAAGCAAGTACACATCTTTATTTTTATCGTAAAGGTGCCTGAGAGGGGGAACTTTAACACAGTTGAAGCCTTTTTTTTCCTTCTTCTTTTTTGTCCAGCCATCAAAGGCAAGATTTTTTTTTAAGAAATCGGTTTTGTTTCACAGCATGCAGAATGTTTTTCTGAGCTATCAGCTCATTGACATCTGTATAGATTTGTGTAGGGTCAATCTTTTCTCAGCTTTCTTTATTCTCCTATGTTCATTCACTTAAGGAAGGGGGTATAAACAGACTGCTTGCTTCTGGGTGGCTTAACACTATTTGCTGTTTACAGTGGTGGTTACCTCACTTGTTCAGAGAATTCTATCAATGTAAGGTTCATCCAGTAAGTTTTCTGGCCACAAACTTTATTTCACAAATACCATGTGATGGAGGGGGGACTGACTGGACTCCATCCTCCTAAGGGTGGGTGAGTAGTGCTTGTGCCCACATCACCACAGAGGAAGGGCGGGACTGCATAGCAAAAGCTCTGCAAAACCCTAGTCGATCTCAGACAAGATTGACTCACCTTTCACTTCTACAACCACAAACGCAAAAATAAGTATTTGGTGGATCAGCGATTTCAAACAGCCTCCCGCCATGGCAGAAAGCACCCCTTCAGATAGGAGTGGCCTTTACGTGGAAGAGCAGAAAACTGAAGAGCTGATAAGACTTGGAGCTGAATTTTCGAAATTAGGAGTTTCTTTCTTTTAAAACAGGCAGTTTTCATTCCTAGGAATTCATTAGATGAGATCTAAAGTAAGAAACTTAACGTTTAGCCTTGTAATTAATCAGCGTTCAGTTTGAAGATTTTATTGAGAGGTCTTCTATTTGCTGGAAATGATACAATTGGCAAGAACTTGAGGAGACAAATGAGTGCTTTCCTTGCATATCAGAAGCCCCAGTTATTTCTGTCACAAGTAGAATAACTTTATTTGAAGCTGTGTCCATCTTCAAAGCTGAAACTCCTAAGGAATCAGCTGAGGTTCTTCACTGGTGCCAGGTGCCTGAAGAAGTGAGAAATCAAAGCAACAATGGCAGGCAGAGGAGAAGGGTGGGGACCAGAACATATGTAGGAAGGAGAAGAAGCCAGAAAGGCAATTGTGTGCAAAGATTAGCAGCAAAATGCAATGGCTTGAAGAAGAAAAGGAGAAATAACACCAGGATATGAAAATTGAAGTTAAGGGAAATATAATACATTGAATTACTAACTTTTTGAGTTTAAAAAAATATATATTGGAATTGCCTCCTACCTGGTTGTGATACGTGTGCAGATGGAATGCCCTCCTCTCTCTACTTGCTGTACATGTCCCTGTCCCTGTAGCACCTCTTTCAGAAGTGGGACAGGAAGCAATGGCATGAAATTGACCAATTTATTATATGTGTTAACAGCACTAATATTAGGTTAGCTAAGTTAGTTATTATCTATAGACTGCTCTTACCATGGGCCCTGAACACCTACCTCCATACCAAAGAAAATCAAGAGTGGATCTCCAATACAAAACCAAAATCTCCTTCACACACATACACAAAATAGGACAAATCACATATTCTAGGGCTGCCCATGCCAGCTTCAGCAAGTGGAATGGAAACAGCCAGTTTCCAGAAAAGCATAAAGCTAAGATGTTCCAATATAACCTAGTAAGCCAAGCTGGGATAAGAGAACTTTCGGATGATTTATCAATTGAAAAGAGTCCTAGGTAGAGGTACAGAAAGTTATGATATCACAAATGGGACAAATAGGAGGAGTTTGGAATATGAAGGGGAACCAGACTTTATAACTGGAAGGCAGTGTTTACAAAATTTAATTATTAAAAACAAGGTATAGAAGTTATGAATTCGTTTCAATCAAATACATGTTGGTTTTTAACTAGGCAGAAATACACTACAATACTTTCACATTCACCCAAGCCTTTTAGTCTGTAGAGCCCCTTACAACATTCAAACTTAAACATCTCCCTCTGTGAGTTCTTTATTTCTTGGTAATGGCTTTATTAACTTGCAATGTGATGAGGGCTTTTATCTTAAATGGTTCAAAAGTTAAATCAAGATGTAATATAAAAGACTGGAAGTCTGGTGCATGATATTCATGCACTGGAGGTTGGGGTGGGGTCCCTCAGCTTGGCCTATGCCCTCTCGCAGTCCGGGACCCCTTGGGGGATGTCTGCTAAGCTAGCAGGTGGACATACCTCTCACAATCCGGGATCCCTCGCCCGTCTGCTCGATGCTCCTTACCGCTGGGTCCACTGATCCTTAGTGCTGCAGCGGAGGCGGAGGTGGGAGAGGCTCCCACCACAGCTGCTGTGTTCACCAGCTACAAGCCTGGCTTCTGGCTAAGCAGCACTCTCCCTGTGGGAGCACACTGACCACCAGGGGGCAGCTCCTGCATTGAGCATCTGCCCCTTAGTGGTCAGTGCGCATCATAGCAACCTGTCGTTCTAGTCATTCCACCATAATGGTTGCATAGGCTTTTATTATATAGTTAATAATATGTGCTATCTGATTCTAAGCTGTCCTGATAGCTTCTCTTTTGCCATTCTTTCTTTCTATTATAGTTCCTTCACAATACTGACAACTTTTGTCTTAAATGAAAAAAAAAAAAAAAAAAGATAGCTTTGTCAAGCTATTCCTCCTCTGACCTCATAGTTATGCTGCTACACTAAACACCATAAGGCATATGCAAGGGGCTTTAGCAAGGAGGAACTGAATGTTGTAGGGAAGAGAAACAGTTCTAATTCTCTATTCATCACTACTTCCAGCTGTTTGCAACTTTGCAGCAGAGTGGAAATAATATGTACTGTCTGCTAATTATTTTTTAATGTGCTACATTTTCTAGATGCCCAATAGATCTGTTCCAGCCTCTGATGGTGTATCAGGGCAAGATTTTCACAATACCATTTATGAAGTTATTCAGCACATCCCTGCCTTACAGCAAGACCATCCAGAGTAAGTATGAACCCTGGAGGGGCTCTGCATTCAGCCCCCACTTTCCCCAGAATTTGTTGTCTCAGCAGAAAATATTAAAATGGGAAATTATAGCTGCTGTGCATAGTTCCCCACCTGAAAATAATCTTAAACAAAACAGGCAAACACTATCTTCTGGGGCCGTGCACTTGGGCCAGTGGAGGAAAGGGAGATCTAGAATCCAGCACTTCCCACAAGGAATCCACATCTGGGTATGATAGTGGTCTTCAGGCCAGTGCTCAAGTCACCTTATCTTGATGACTTTCCAGTGACTATGGTGGTTTTAGAACCGATCATCTGTCCCTATAAATAGGACCAGAAAAACAACCACAAAATAACCTACAACATGTGCTCAACACTGTCACCCCCAAATACCCAACCTCTTACAGACTGGACGCAGGCTACTCCCAAGTGAACCGGACCACGGTGAGAACTGGCCTCCCACCGAGAGGATAAAACCTTCGCTGAGGGCAATGCCAGGAAACTGCTTACCCAGTTAACCTCAGGAGTAGCACTGATGAGTGCCCAACCTTCCCAGCCTCCGAGAAGCTAAACCTACAGCCTTTTGAAATAATGAAACGAACTTCCCTTTTTTGTGGGCTTTAGCTGCCTACAGGCATAACTGCCACAAATCGTCTTCCATCATTTCTTTGTCATTTATTGACTTTGAAAAGAACATCAATAACCACACACAGGAACTTTCCCTCTGGCAAAAAAAAATAAAATAATAATAACAACACCACAGTTCTAGTGAAGCAATTCATGCACACCCCTGGGTAAATACGAAAAATAAGAGCTAGCAATGGATGAATGGGAAATCAGCGTGCAGGGAGGAGACCCAGTCCTGGGAGCTATGTGGTCATTTATGGACTAAGTAAGTGGCACCTCCAAGGACCCCATCAGTGCATTCCTTCTTGTTCCAGGGAACCTGGAGAAAAGGGAGTTGATAGATCCTCCCTTCCCCCAACTGGTGGGCGGAGTATGACATATGACATAACCTGCAGCCGGAAATACATGGTTAGTCCATATAAGGTACATGGTTAGTCACTCAGGTATTTCCTGGCTGCTTGTTATGTCATACTCCGCCCACCAGTTGGGGATAGGGAAATCTATCAGGAGTCAAGTAATTTAGGAGCAGACCCTGATTCAGCTAGCAACTTCTGGTTTAAAAACTGCACTAAAGCATACTTTTAATCTCATATACAAGAGTGGAATATTATCCCATGACAATAAGAAAAAAACAACTCTCTAAAATTATATCTACCTGGATTAGAAAATTAAGAGATACTTTTCTTTGTTTAATATAACAAAATAGAAAGAATGTTGAGAGTTTGTCTGCTTCCTAATTTTCAGATTGTATCCAATTAAAAATGTTATCCTACTTAAATTCATTTGTTTTTCCCCATGTCCTTTGTTCTGCATATCTATTGTTCTAATTAGAATGCAAACAAATCAAATGAAAGCTTGAGATTTGTCTTTTAAGGCTCCCCATAATGAAATAAATTCCCATCTTAAACTGTGGAATATGGCAGCTGCAATTTCTGAAACACAAAATAATGAGGTTGGTTTTGCATGTGGAAAAAAAACAACACACTAATCTCCAAATAAAAAAATCTCCTGCTTGGATGAGAATGCTTTCAGACATGAATAATATCTTTACAACTTTTTGGAAATAGAAAACTTTATTTCAGAAATAAGCTTCGGAGGCAGAAATGCTCTTTTCAAGCACTTAAAAGGGCTGTTCCGAACTGAGGATGCGCTTTTTCCAGGGGCAGGGCGCCCAGGAACACCAACTTACCTTCCCAGCCCTCATGCCCCGCCCACCTCCCACCCCCATCTCTGGCCTCTCTCTTCTCACCAACCTCTCCCCCTCAGAGTCCTCGTGTCCCACTGTGTGTCTGTCTTCCAGCACCTCTCTTCCTTCACCTCCATCCTTTGTCGCCCCTCTGACTCTGCCCTTCTCTTTTTCTTTCTTTCTCAGTAAGGCTGTCTCCCTTCTCTGTGATACCTCTTCTAACACTGTCCTCCTCTGTCTCTCTTCCAACCCATCCTAGAGGGGAGCCACCATGTTTCACATTGGTATTTTCCTCCAATAGAGATGTATGGTAACTATTCTACATTTTAAAAAATAAACATGTAGGATATTTTCTTTTTATTCTATCAGAAACTGTTTTTTGCACTTATCTTATTTACAGTCCACCCACAAACATTTCCAGGACGTTAATTATGTGCTAGGGGTAGAGATTAAATGAGACTCAGTCTTGTAAGGATTTCATACTTTAGTGGGTTCCTATTTGCTTATTTTAACTAAGGACTAGTGATCCTTAGTAGAATAAATATTCCTCAGTAGAATAAACATGGCCCTAAACATACAGAGACCATTTTTCTCTCCTGATTGCCTGTGGTTTTATGCTCCAGGCCCAATTAAATGCAAAGATCAATTTCATGAATAATGCAGTATTTCTGTGGTTAGTGAAACTCTCACACCCCTCATTCCCAAGGTGAATATGCCAACTTTGGTAAAAAAAAAAAAAAAAAAAAAAAAAAAAAAAAGTCCTAACTTACTTTTCTTTACTTCTGACAGTTGCTTCTGAGATAGGAAAGACAGCCAAAAAGTTTTGTTCTTTGGCTCTTCTAACAGTGTTGTTTTCAAACTACATGTGTTTATTACCTAATTGGACAGGGTTTAAACAAACTGGTAGGTTGACCTGTGTCCATATTCTAATACTCAGCCCAATTATTTGTGCATTGAACTTGTGGCTGCATTTATTTAAATGCTGTTTGTTGACTTCATTAATTGACTCCAAGAATGGCTGTTGGGATATTAAAAAGCAGGCCATTCAAGCAGGGAAATCTTTAGTTTCAAAAATAAACTATCTACAGAATTTAGTGAATACTTACTCCGTACTTTTTAGCTTATAAATTTAATTTTCTTGAACTAGTTCCAAACATTATTTGCAGCTATGGAAACAGATAAAGGGATGTAAGGTTCTTCTACCTTTAAAACTAGAAATCTATAAAATATGTCACATATGTTAACATCTCTTTGCCAGGTGAGCACTCACAGGTAAGCAGTGCACTGGACTGAAATAATGAAGGAATGTTTTGAGGAAAAACAGTGGAAATGTATATGCATCTGGAATCAGTGAAGAAATCAAGCTCAATACATCTTGATCCTTTTAAACACAGACTAGCGTCATTTATGAAAATTGATCTGCCGGTTTCCCTGCGTACTCAGAATGCACCGAGCACTGTGCTACCGAGGAACGTGGCTGGGAAAGGAAAAGGTCCTCCGTGGATAGTCTTCACCGTGCTGACTGACAGAAAGGAAAAGCTGGGACTTTCCAACTGGCCTTTCTGTATCAAGCTTCTCTAAAAAGCACAATTAGTTCTAATCTATTACTTTCACTTTCACCAATCTGACAGTCACATCAAACTGACAAATGTAGAAACTTTATAGTTGTAAAAAATTTAGCAGGCTCTGTCTTATTAAATTCTCATAACTGTTAAGATTGCTATATTTATATATTTTTATTCCATTCCCGAACTTCCTTCTTGCTCTTTGTACCACAGAATAATGATGGTTGTCACAGAAGCAAGACTGTGCCTTTTCCTAGGTTGTCAATCACCAGTGGTGTTTTTGAAAAGACATAAAAGGTTGAAGGAAATGACTCGTTAAAATATTTTTTATTTTTGTTCAAGAAAAGATGGATTCAAATAAATTATTCTGGATTTTTGGTTTGGTTTTTTTTTTTCTTTTTTTTTTTTTCTTTTATATGGCTTTGATTCTTTGTTTTGTAGAGTAAAAAAAAATTACATAAAAGTCAGATAGTAGAATTAGTTTTTGTATCCTTATTTCTCAATGTGCAATTAAGTGTAAATTACAGAGAACTACTAAAATAACCATTTTGCCCTCTCACATCTATCTTTTTTCAGGCTTGAAATTTTTACTCCATTGAATTGTTGATTCTGGGAAAGGTTTCCTTCCTTGTATGTTGCTGCATTTTTAAAAATTAGAAGCCAAATGGCAGAATTAGATAACATTATCCCACAAATTCCAAATGAAATAACTGGTTCAGGTAACAATCATCACTAGGCAAGATTGCTAGATGAAATGTACCAGGTAAAACCACTAGATCAGTGATCAGCAAACTGCGGCTCGTAAGCCGCCACAGCTTACCGCTCTGCTGACTAATGGGTTTGCTGACTGGGATAGGGGCTTAATCACAAGGAACAACAGCCTGTAATTATTGGAACCGAGAGTCTAGGTCAGTGGTCGGCAAACTCATTAGTCAACAGAGCGGCAAACTGCACTAGATAACCAGGTGGTCTGGAGCCTAGAGACAAGCAGTTATACAGAGTGGCAATAACCAACTGTTCCAGGTGCCCTGAGGTCCACAGGATGGGAACAGAATAGTCATCTAAGTCTTGTAGGTCTTGAAGATGAAATTTAATATCTTCAATGTGTTTAGTCACATTGGCTGCAAACACTCTGTTCTGGCAGTGCTATCCTTTAGGATTTTATTTCACCCAAATAAAGGTAGAAACAACCCAAATATCCAACTATTGGGGATTTTTAAATAGTGTGAATGATACTATACCCATACAATGGTTCATACTGCAATTACAAAAAGAAGAAGAAGAAGAAGAAGAAGAAGAAGAAGAAGAAGAAGAAGAAGAAGAAGAAGAAGAAATATGACTATATTTAAACTGATTTTGAACTGTGCTCATGCCCTATTATTTTTTACAGAAGTAAAAAGAATAGCATTTCTCTCCATTATATTAACACTGTACCTTCCCTATTTTCATAGAAGTACATGTTAAAAAGAAAATTAAGACTAAGTTCCACAACCCCTTTCTAGTCTGCTTTATCTACCACCCTTATATAATTTCTGCTGAAAAAGCCTCAGTCCTACCATAAATATGTTCTTCTCCAATTAGTAAAAACATATTTTATCTGATTAGAAAAGAAATTAATGCATAATGTAGCAAGATAAAATACACCCAAAGATACTAAGTTGGCACAGAAAACAGGATAAGGGAACATTTGAGAGTTTATAAAGGAAAAGGGAAAGTGGAAATAATGTTAATAAAATGGATGGTGAATTCCCCTTTGAGTATAGTTTATACCACTAAGATTTCACAGCATATATAAGGTGCATGTCTAGGCCAAATGTGATGTGTAATTACCAGAGCCAAAGGTTGCAATTCTACTGCATGAATAGGAGAGAGCTGGTAGGCTTCCCCAGTCCCCAACTAACCCAGGTCCATCCACCTCTCCCCTCCTTTCTCAATCCTGAATTCCCCTTCCCTCCCTGGCCAGGCCCTTACCTCTCAGACTTCCAGAGCAGATACTGACTACAAAGAGCTCCTGCTGCTTCTCCATGTTCCCCTTTCTAGACCCAACTCTGGAACACTTTAAACCATGGACAATCTCAAGCAGCATATTCTTGGGTATGTAATAATACAGTCACATGATTCACAAGTCAAAATCCTATAAAAAGCATGCACCAAGCCCAGCTGGTGTAGCTCAGTGATTGAATATCATCCTATGAACCAGGAGGTCACGATTCAATTCCTGGTCAGGGCACCTGTCCAGACGGTAAGCTCTATTGATCCCATGTATGGTATGCAGGAGGTAGCCGATAAATGATTCTCATCATTGATGTTTCTCCCCCTCTCCCTTCCTCTCTGAAATCAATAAAAATATTTTTTAAAATAAAAAAAATAAAATAAAAAGCATGCACCAAGAGCAGTGTTTTTATTAGTTTGGGGGTTTTGGTTTGTGCATCCCTCCAGAGTTTCTTACCACAAGCCAAAGGAAATTCAAATACATATTTTTTTTTTTTTCAAACTCACTTTCAATCACTTGTAATTCCTCTCATTTCTGTATCTCTCTCCCACACACACAAATACACACACTCTCTTAGCACATGGTTCCACTCAAGGCACCAAGGAATTGCTGAAGGGAAAAATGTGAAAGGATCTAGAATCCAATTAACTTTGCTGTCATTGGTGTGTGACACTGGGTGACTCACTGCTTTTTTAGTAAATGGGGATGAAAAAATCTCATAAATTAATCAAGGTTTCCAAGGGAAGGGATGAACCTAACCCAGATGTTCACCTAATTAACAAATTAATCTTTTAAAAACAGCCTGAAGTTCTTTTCTTATTACTAAACATCATCTTAGCTGTTAAAGTTTTTAACTTTATATTACTGCTTCTTACTTGGAATAGAATTATATTCCCAGCAAATATTATTTTTCAAGAGTATATCTAACTGATAGAATTTTTAAGCAAAAAAAAAAAGAAAAGTGCTTATGAATAAAACATAATTTTCCTGACATTTGTGCATTTCTGTGTTAATAAGACAATTTAAGTGAAACTGCACATGCATACTCAATGAAGGTCCATGAAATCCTCAGTTCTATAAGGTCATGTACCTTATAAAGTTTTATTAAAATAATAAAATTAAGTGATAAAATACATAGCACCTAGGCAGCTATTTTACTATATATTATTAAAGATTTATTTTTAGAAAGTTCTTATTGCTATGGATTCCTGTGAGTTCCCATGCCCTTCTTAAACATTCCTGTAAAGCTTATGTTCAAATATATAGGGTGGGGCAAAAGAGGTTTACACTATTGTATGGAAAATAATATAAGAATAAATAATGATAATATAAGAATAAACTCTTTCGTGTACTCATAACTATAAACCTACATTTGCCGCACCTTGTATATGAATGTGTACGTTTTAGTTGAAAGCAAAGGTTTATTTTTCATAAGCAGACATGGAAATCAGACACAGCACTCGGATATAACACTGTAAATCTCCCTACTTCTCATCTCCCAGACACCTTGTTTATTGAAATTACCATTGCCTAGCTAGTGTGATGCCGTGACTGAGCATCAACTCATGACCCAAGAGGTCACAGGTTCAATGCCTGGTCAGAGCACGTGTCTGGGTTTTGGGCTCAATCCCAGTGGGTGGCCCGAGGAGCAGGACAGGACCAGGGCGGGCGGGATGGAGGGATGCAGGAGGCAAATGGATCAGTGATTTGCTCTTATCATTGCTATTTCTATCTCTTTATCCTTCTCCCTTCCTCTTCTCTAAAATCAATTTTAAAAAAATTTTAAAAAGGATTACCATGTTAACCTCGAAGTTTATAAACACTTTCATACCCATTACCTCCTTTGATCGGCACAAGAACCTTGTGGGCTAGAGTGAGCATGCTCACTTTACTGATGAAAAAAACAGAGACTCTGGAAGTTAAAAGACTTTCCTAAAGTCACCAAACCAGTAAGTGGCAGAGCTGATCCTCAAACAGCATCTCTGGCTCCAACGCGCCCCACGATTTCTCTGGACATGGAGTGCACACCAATTTTTCTTCTCTCTGCCTTACCTTGAGAACTTCACTAGTTTCAATTACTATTGTTCCACCGCAAACATTTATTTCTTTGTTTTGGGGTGTTTTTTTGTTTTGTTTTGTTTTTGTTTTGCCTGTTATCAGCTCTTTCTCGTTTGAATATGCTCCTGAGGAAGATGACAGCTCTATTGCTCACCACACAATCGGTGTCTGAGCATGACTTTTTCTACCTTCTGCAGCAGAAGTTCACTTCAGGTATACGACAGAGGCTTTCTGAAGTCCCAGAGAAGCAGGACCTTAAAAACAAACAACAACAAACAAAACAACAGTTGTCCCAGGACGTAAGGACTTTAGGGACCCTCCAGGATAGCCAGCTCTTCCGAGTGTCCCAAATGGCACCCCTCCCACCACTTGCACTTTAGAACACAGACAATAAGTGTATTCTGAAATGCTCTGAACTGGATTACCTGTCCTCTGAATACTTAAGGAAGACACCCTCTATAGGAGGCAAATAACTGCTCCAATAACCAACTTCCTTTGTGATTGACTCTCAGGGACACTTGATTCAGGGACACTTGATAACTGTGGGTGCTATTTTTGTTTGTTTGTTTGTTTTTGCAGTTCACTGAGACCCTACCAAACTGTCCTTCAGAAAAATAGAGTTGTGACAATGGTTATATCTATAAAA